GATTCTCTTTTGCAGATATCATGTGCTTGCTCTCATTCATGAATGAACTCATTGAAGTGATGCTAGGCTATGTGTGCATAAACACTTATTTAACACACCACATATGCACAAAACAAATTGGAAACTAAAAATGAGTAAAGAAAGGTAAAATAAAAGAAACAAAGCAAGAAACCAAAGAAAAACCGAAACAACACTTTCTATCACCTTTTTATCACCATTGTATCACTTGTTTATCACCTGTGAACAGTGGCTGGCAACGGGTCGTGAACAGTGATGACCGATCGTTTTCTGGCAGATTGGCTGGCGACCGGTCTCCTGAACAGTAACGACCGGTCATTTTTTGGCAGATACATTTTCTCTGTTTTTCAGTTTCGACCTTTGTCCAGTTTTTTACCTATAACTTTCCAACCGTTTGTCCAAATTTCAAGTTCTTTATACGGTTGGATTCAGCACAGAAAAACAAAGAATACTGCGTGAACCAAAAGTCAAAAAAAGTTACGGAAATAAACAGAATTCAATGAAGAAAACACACAATGTTTCCAACAACACAAACACACACAAATTGCACCCTAAACAATTCTACCAATGTTCATGGATACTCAAGTAATGAACTCTAAACATATTGATGAAGATGTTCGCAATCAAGACCGGACTAGTGGCTCAAGACGCATTGATTCTCTCCAATATACATAAAGTGCAGGGCTAGTGCAACAATACTTGTGCTTTCCCTATAACCAAATCTAGGTGTGCTTAGTACTTCAATTCAATTACAAGAAAAACCCATTAAGTTCAAAGAGAATATGAACATCACAAGAACCCTAATAGCATGATGTTTACATTAGGTGTTCAAGAAACCAATTCACATGGATGATTCTTACTTCATCCATTTATTTCTTAGGAAAACATGAAGAAACACATAATCCCAACAACCTCAAGAAGCATGCTTTCAAAGGTAATCAATCAAAGGAAAACATACATCAAGGATAGATTATTTTAGTGAAGAGGAATTCATCAATTGTTGTCAACAAATTAATTCACATGATGCTCACTTAAACAAGTTCAATCATTTGTTGCTAATTAGAAATTATGTTCTTGGGTATCTTACACAACTTCTTAACTTTAGCTACATGCATACAACTGAAGGTGATTAATCAAAGGAAGCAAACACATATCATAAGATTCAATTAGTGAATGGGATTCATCAACAACATCTAAAAATTCATACACTCAAAGCATCAAAACAATAAGGTGTTCATGTTTAGGGCTTCAACCTAAGCCCTAGCTATGGAGTCTAGTTCCTCATACTTATTTCAAATACAAACTCAAAATATAACTAGAAAGAGTTTACAGATTTTGTGAAAGTGATGGAAGCTCAAGGTCTTCAATGGTGGAAATCTTGCCCTTGTCTTCCTCATTGAGCTCTCTAGCTCTAAGCTCCCAAAAATCTCTGCAAAATTGTAGAATGATCGAATTGATTTTCAGATTGCACATTCATTCTCTTTTGCCCATCATCTTTCCTTGCTTTTCAGCTTTTACTTTTAATATAAAACACATTCTTTTGCCAAAGCCTTTTGCCTTGTCTTTCCTTGTCTCCTTGTCAATGATGAAGTTTTGTTTCTAAGCATATTCTAAGGCTCCATTTGACTCAGAAAATCCCACTTCAATAAGGTAATTTATGGTTACTAAATGGTTTGGTAACAAGTAGAAATAAGATGCCATCAAGTGGAGGTAAAACTGGCCCAAAACAGATTTCCAGAGTTAGGAACAATTGTTGGATCAGTTGGCTGGGCAATACTTTCTCAATGGAGCTCAAATTCAGATATGTTGTAGTCAACATCCATTGGAACAAGTTTCATGAAGATCTTCATCTCATCCGAGCACCGGGGCATGTTGATCCAAGGCCAAGAAGTTGACCTACGAAAATGAACAAAATCAGAATTTATAATCAATAATGCACTTTTAGCTCATTTTCATTCTAACCAAGGTAAAACCTATTAAAACACAAAAATGAAGTAAAAAGCTATAAAATGTCAAGACCTAACTCAAAATATTAGGTGAATAACAAGATAAATCATGTGTAAAAATGAACCGAACACCATGCACTCCACTTACAAAACGAACTTCGTACGAATTTGATGTGTACAATTTCTGTCTTCCGCGCAAATCTCATGGCCTGGAGTTCCGGGCCGATGGGATGTGTGTTGACACGCGGTTTCCTGCTTTTGGGTGCGGTACGTTTGTGCGCGGGCGTGCCAGCACGGTCTACCATGCGTCGAGTTGGTTGATGGGGATGGAATGGTTGAGTGGTGCGCCTGTTTGAACTCGTCTTCTAATCAAACGGTTGTAGCCGAGAGAGGAACTAGTCTCGACTGTTAGGTTCACGGCCTGAACTACAAGGCCGTTGGGTGGTACTGTTTGGTGGGTTCTGGGCGGTGCTCCGGCGCGCAGCTCAGGGAGCGACGGTCGTATGATATCTGGGGTGAGTGAGCGAATAACAGGGATGGTGCTCCGGTGCCTTGAAAATCAAGGGTCGTATGATATATTAATGAATGAATTTTCCTTAGAAACTATCACTACTCTTAGGAAAGCAAGTAAAATATTGAAAGTGCATTACAGGAAAATATAAGTTGCTCCGTGGGAGGCTTTTGTTTGGTGTTTGAACCCGTTGAATGTAGCTCGAGCCTTGTATTTATAAGAAGAGTTCCTGGATGAGTAATCGAGGCTGAATTCACGCATAGTGGAGTCTGATTAGCGCAAGTGGGTGTCCAATCGACATTTGGGATCGTGAAGCATGGTGGTGTGACCCCATAAATCCTAGTGAATCTAAGCCGCCGCCCTAATCGTGGTTTCTGCGCAGCTGGCCATGGAGACGCATTTATTGCTCTGATAGCTGGTGACCTAATCTCTCAAGCTGCAAGAATTCTTGTGAGAATGTCTACGTCTAATCACTCTGTCTTCTGTCGCCAAAACCTGACTTCAGTCACTTCCCACCTTCCCTTATGCATTAAATGCTTATTTGTGGCCAGTGGGTTTGCTGCATTAAACAGGCGCTACTTCATTAAATGAAGCATGGGTCCCTGCTATCACGTGATGATCTGACTTTAATATTTTCGGCCGCGATGATCATGCCTTAGCATTTCTCTTTTGTCTTCAGGAAGGCAAAGCACCTTGTTGAAACGCTGCGTTTCAGTTTTACGAGCAAGTGCCAGGGCCGAGAAAGGGGGATCCTTCGGCCAGCTCATGGCCGTGATTTATTAGGCACAAACAATTTCTTTGACCTTTTGATTTTGGATCAAGCCCAAAACTAGGCAACACAATAATATGGTGGGAGGAGTCTTCTGGTGAGTTTTGAGTGAAACCCAATTGCAAAAACTAGGTAAGACACCAAGCACTCCATTTACAAAATGAACTCCGTTCAAACACGAAGTATCCAATTTCTTGGACCTATTGATTTCAGATCGTGCCCAAAACTTGGTCAACATAATAATAGGGTGGGAGGAGTCATTTGGTCAGTTTTGAGTGAAATCCAATTGCTGAAACTAGGCCATACACCATGGACTCCATTTATAGAACGAAATACGTACAAACTTGAAGTGTCCAATTTCTTTGACCTACTGATTTCGGATAGAGCCCAAATCTTGGGAAACAAAATAATATGGTGGAAGGAGTCATTTGGTGAGTTTTCAGTAAAATCCAATTGCTAAAACTAGGCCACACCCCACGCACTCCATTTGTAGAACTAACTTAGTATGAACTTGATGTATCAAATTTCTTTTACCTATTGATTTCGGATCGAGCCCGAAAGTTGGGCAACATCATAATATGGTGGGAGTAGTCATTTGGCGAGTTTTGAATGAAATCCAATCACTAAAATTAGGCAATACACACTACAAGAAAAACACCCTTTACTGACGGCTAAAAAGCGTCACTAAAGCCATTAGATGACGGTTCCAAAAGCGTCAGGGACGCCACTGTCAGGAAAGGGTACCACCATACTTGACGCTTATTATCCGTCAAGAAATAGCATTTCCTGACGGGTAAAAAGCGTCACGAATTAGTGAAAAACCGTCTACGAAAGCTTTTCTTGTCGCTTCATAAGTATCAACAAATATATTTCCTGACATTTAATAAATCTTTCTTGACGGTTCTTAGCCGTCAAGATTTGTATAACTAAAATATTAAAAAAAAAGCTTCTTAGACAACTAAAGTTTCAAAGAATTTAGTAGCTAAATGAATATATTAAAAAAAATAACAAGCTGAAATTTAATATCCACTAAAATAGAATATTTAGATACAAACATTCAAAAACTCGTAATGACATGTTAACTATCTTGAGAAATGTTACTAAAAAACATTAAAAAAATTACATTGAAAACAATATATGCTGAAATAAACCAAACTATCTAGTATAGTAAAACGTAGAATTTCTAACTTAGAAGCTTGACTTTTCGTAGCACTTGTGTTTGTAGTTTAAGCCTCCATGTACACATCAATCTGCCAGTATAGGTAAGACATGAATTTAAAGAATTAAGAGATATAACCAATGAACACATCAACCTTGTCCAACACCAATAGAGTCTCATATCATGCACATATTCATTACCAAATATAAATGCCCACTTCTTTTGATTCAAATGCAGAGAAGAACTTGAGAGGAAACTCCAACTTGTGTTGTTTAGAAAGTTATTTGGAATTCTATAATGAGAGGAAACTCAAATTTCTTACCAGCGAGAAAAATTATCAACACAATTAGAAAAAAAAGCATAAATCCAATTCCCTAAGCTTTCTTCTTCATGCAAAAGTTGGGTACCAACACGGACTGGAAAATTAAAAGCCAATTTAAATATTGGCACAAAGAGTATTATAACAACAATAACCTCTACATAAAAGCATTCATTTATGCAAATGCATGAATGTTTCTCAGTAGAAGAGAATGCCAAGTTACAAGAAACGACCCTATTGAGAAATCACAAAACCAGCACATAATATCATTTAATCTGCTTAGAAACAATATAAGGCATATAAAATCACAAGACCAACCGTAATAAACATGAAAATGCATCTTTATCTGTGATGCCCAAGGCTTCGGTTGCTTTACAACTTTATTTGAGAGTGAGGGAAATTATATGTAGCCCACACCATCTTATGTCTGCGATTCTCTCTCATGACCCTATTCCTATTATACCACAAAATGCAAAATCACATATCAAACTTAAACAATTTCAATTCTCAGCCATGTACTTGTTGGACCCAACAAAGAATGAAAACTTTGCACAAAAAAATAAAATAAAATAAAAGAATGAGAACTAAAATTAAAAGAGGAAATGGAACCAGATCTAAAACATAATAAATTGTGAGAAATAAATACGTTTCCTGTAAGGCATTCGGGATTACCTCAAATCATTTCCCTAATATTGATTTGTTCCCTTCCCAGCAAGACCTTGGAAATTAAAAAAACAAATAACAGAACTGAAATTCGTGAAAAATATATCAACAACAATAGTACCCAGCATAAAAGAAGAATCTAACCCCAACTCTGTCCAAAATGAAAAATTAAGAAGAGACATGCATCAAAATGAAAAATTAGTTTTATAAATGATTTGAACAGCAGCCCCTTTTGCAAGCAATAGAACCCTGGATGCATAAAAAAATTGAACACCCATAAACATCGAATTCATATCAGTGAATGAAAGCAGACCAAACATTTCAAGTGCTCTTCCAATTCGGTATAAGAGTCCTCAAAAAGTAGAAATTATGCAAAGAACTAGATGTATACAAATTCAGATAAGTAAAAGATAGAGCAAAGGCTAGATAAGTGTAAATGGCTTCATCTAAAACTGGATGACCGAGAAAAGAATAACAAGCATTACCATTACCACACTCTTCAACTTAAAATCCATAAAAATTAAAAAATTAAACCTAAAGAACAAATCATATTCCCAGAAAAAGACCTAGAAATTCTTTTTTCAGAAACTTCCCCAATTTCTATATAATTCGAAAATAGATATTACAAAAAACATAATTAGGGCTTACAACGGAGGAAGAGAGACTGAGTGAGGGGTGAGCGAGCCATTGAGAGAGCACGAGCTAGCCATAGCGATAGAGAAAGAAAGGCAGAGCAAGAGTGAGAAAGAAAGAGCGAAAGAGAAGAGAGAAATCGTGAGAGTGAGAAGGAACGAGAGAAGAGAGAGAGAGAGAGAGAGAGAGCGATAATGAAAATGAAAGTGAGAGAGCGAGTGAGAAAGAGAGAGTGCTTTTGAAAAATTGGGGTTTCACTCGTGAAAAATCAGATCCCGCTTTTATTTTTAGTGCCCGCCCACAATCGCTTCTTTTTCTTTTTCTCTTAGCGTTTCCTCTAGGAGTGGGCACGGTCCGGTTTGGTCCGGTTTCATCCTCAAACCACAGCTGAACCAATTAAAGTTTCACGGTCCGGTGTGGTTCGGTTTGAGCTAAAATCAAAATGAAAACCAAACCAAACCAAACCATTCATATCCGGTTTGGTGCGGTTTGGTTCGGCCGGTTTAGGCATAAAAGAAAACATGCTTACAATAACACAAAACCTGTTAACATCTGTATTCCATCAAATAATCCTAAAACTGAACTTGCTCCTAACAAACATAAACATTTTCATCAAAGTTCATCCAAAATTCCAGCAACAAACTTCAACATACAATCCCATATTTTCAAACAAATACAAACAAATTTCAATACCCAATCGATTAATACAATTGGAAATTACATACCAACTAGTCAGCTACAACATTCATTCTGATTTTATCAAATTAATGCAAAGAACAAAAAGCCAAACAAACACATTTCTTCTTATTCTTCTGCAAGGCATTTCTGAGAGAGCCATTAACCATATACTCTGTCACTGTTGGCACAGAACCTCCCGGCCCATCAAGCACAACACCATAGAAGCTACCACATAAACAGGAACAAACAGGTAAAAATTGTTGAGTCCAAAGATTATTCTCTGCATAACATTTAGATATAGATTGCAGGCCTTAGTTGGAAAAAAAAAAACATATTATCTTCACATCTTACTTGAAGCAGCACAAAGCACCAACTCGGTAACTCATAACAATTTGAAACATCTGTTAAAAATATGCATACCAACCAACAATTTCTAAGTACTAGAATAATTGGTGGAATAAAATAGAATAATTGATGGAATAAAGTAGAATAATTGGTGAACCTTTTGTGAAAGAAAAACTTACCCCATAGAAGAATCAAGTCCGCCAAATGCCCAGCAAGGAAAAGCAAAATAATGCAATATTCCCATCATCAATCCTTGCAGAACCTGGTGGAGAGGGAGAGGGAGAGGGAGAGGGAGATGTAGCAGAGAGATAGAGAGAGAGGGAGAGGTAGCAGAGAGAGATGGAGAAATAATGAGAGGGAGTTGCGGCTAGGGTTAAGAGACGAAGGAAGAAAGGAGATAGGAGATAGGAGAGAGGCTCTAAGAGAAATCTGAAGGAGAGAGAATGGTTAGATCTTAGATGTGTCCGTGAGTTGTAATTTTGGAGTCCAATCAAGTGTTGCTGGGTACATGGTACACTTCTAAATAACCACTCAAGTCTTGCCACATGTAAACTAAATTAAATAAATAATAAATTGATTTGTAATCGGTCCGGTTTGGTTTAGGACAGTTTTTAAAACTCTCAAACCGCAGCCGAACCAAACCAAACCGGTTCGGTTCGGTTTTTCAAACTGTTGACTTTTTCTTTAGTCAAAACCAAACCAAACCAATCCAATATAATCGGTTCGGCCGGATTAACCGGATCGGCCGGATTGATGCCCACCCCTAGTTTCCTCTACTATACTTAATGCTATCTTCATTTTTTATTTTATTTATTTATTTTTTTTGGTATGAGACTAGTTTGTTTAAAGTGTCAGATTTTGTTTTTTCTCTTTTTCTCTTTTTCCTAAGGGTGTTTTTTTAGAAAGTGTCAAGTATACAAAGGTTTTAATTGACGTTTTTTATAAAACGTCAAGAAAAAGTGATATAGAGTTGACGTTCTATATTAAACGTCAAGGAAAGTGATATATAGTTGACGTTTCTTGTAAAACGTCATGAAAACCAACTATTTAGTTGACGCTTTTTAAAAAGCATCAAAGCTTCAAAGAATAGGTGATGGTTTTGCAAAAAGCGTCAACTATGAAGTGTCAACTAAGGCCCATTTTCTTGTAGTGACACCAAGAACTCCATTTACAGAACAAACTTCGAACGAACTTAAAGTATCCAATTTCTTTTTACCTATTGCTTTCGGATCGAGCCCAAAACTTGGGCAACATGATAATATTGTGGGAGTAATCATTTCGTGCGTTTTGAGTGAAATCCAATCGCTAAAATGAGACAATACACCAAGCACTCCATTTACATAACGAACTTTGTACGAACTTGAAGTGTCCAATTTCTTTTACCTATGGATTTCGGATCGAGCCCTGAACTTGGGCAACATAATAAGAGGGTGGGAGGAGTCATTTGGTCAATTTTGAGTGAAATCCAATTTCTAAAAGTAGGCAATACACCATGCACTCCATTTACGGAACGAACTTCGTACAAACTTGAAGTGTCCATTTTCTTTGACCTACTGATTTCGGAACGTGACCAAATCTTGGACAACAAAATAATATGGTGGGAGGAGTCATTTGGAGAGTTTTGAGTGAAATCCAAAAGCTAAAACATGGCAATACATGAAGCACTCCATTTACAGAACAAACATCGCACGAACATGAAAGTATCCAATTTCTTTTTCCCTATTGCTTTTGGATCTGTTCCAAAACTTGGGCAACATAATAATATGGTGGAATGAGTGATTTGGTGAGTTTTGAGTGAAATCCAACCGAAAAACCTGGGAAATACCCCAAGCACTCCATTTACAGAACGAACTTCGTACGAACTTCAAGTGTCCAATTTCTTTGACCAATTGATTTCGGATCGAGCCTAGAACTTGGGCATCATAATAATATGGTGGGAGGGGTCATTTGGTGAGTTTTGAGTGAAATCCCATCTCTAAAACTATGCAAGACACCAAGCACTCCATTTATAGAACGAACTTTGTACGAACTTCATGTGTACAATTTCTTTGACCTTTTAATTTCCTACTGAGCCCAAAACATGGGCAACATAATAATATGGTGGGAGTCATTTGGTGAGTTTTGAGTGAAATCCAATTGCTGAAACTAGGCAAGACACCAGGAACTCCATTTACAGAACGAACTTTGTACGAACTTGAAATATCCAATTTCTTTTTACCTATTGATTTCGGATCGAGCCCAAAACTTGGGCAACAAAATGATATGGTCGGGGGAGTCAGTCATTGAGTTTTGAGTGAAATCCAGTCACAAAAACTAGGCAATACACAAAGCACTCCATTGACAGAACGAAGTTCGTACGAACTTGAAATATCCAATTTATTTTTACCCATCGATTTCGAATCGAGCCCAAAACTTGGGCAACATAATAACATGGTGGGAGGAGTCATCTTGTGAGTTTTGAGTGAAATCCAATCGCTAAACTATGCAAGACACCTAGCACTCCATGTACAGAATGAACTTCGTAAGAACTTGATGGGTACAATTTCTTTGACCTACTGATTTCGGATCGAGTCCAAAACTTGGCCAACATAATAATATGGTGGGGGGAGCCATTGGTCAGTTTTGAGTGAAATCGAATCGCAAAAACTAGGCAAGACACCAAGCACTCCATTTACAAAATGAACTTCGTACGAACTTGAAGTATCCAATTTCTTTGACCTATTGATTTCGGATCGTGTCCAAAACTTGGGTAACATAATAATATGGTGGGAGGAGTCATTTGGTGAGTCTTGAGTGAAATCCAATCGCTAAAGCTATGCAAGACACCAAGCACTCCATTTATAGAACAAACTTCTTACGAACTTGAAGTATCCAATTTCTTAGACCTATTCATTTCGGATTGAGCCCAAAACTTAACAACACTATAATATGGGGGGAGGAGTCATCTGGTGAGTTTAAAGTGAAATCCAACTGCTAAAACTAGGCAAGACACCAAGCACTCCATTTACATATCAAACTTCGTACAAACTTGAAGTATCCAATCTCTTTGACCTATTGGTTTCATATCTAGCCCAAAATTTGGCAACACAATAATATGGTGGGAGGAGTCATCTGGTGTGTTTTGAGTGAAATCCAATTGCTAAAACTAGGCAAGACACCAACCACTCCATTTACATAACGAACTTCGTACGAACTTGAAGTATCCAATTTCTTTGACCTATTAATTTCGGATCGAGCCCAAAACGTGGGCAACATAATAATATGGTGGGAGGAGTCATTTGGTGAGTTTTGAGTGAAATCCAATTGCTGAAACTAGGCAAGACACCAGGCACTCCATTTACAGAA